ATATAATTGTAATATACTCATACATAACGAGAACATTTTCGGGGTGAGAAAAAGATATAGAAGTAGTGCCAGTAAAATCGATGAAAAGACATATTTGTATATTATACACTAGGAACCTTTTCACTGTTGTCGACCCTGTACCTTTATGATTAAAAATTATTTCCACTATTCACTTTCAGCATCATGCGCCCATAGATTCAATGAACGTATTCATCAAATTAATTCGATATTACACGTATTATTTCTCACAGGTGAAAAGCTTACAACATTGCCATTTCCAAGTCCAGTCTAGGATGGACGTTTCCACTCAATTTTCGGCAGAACAGCTGCATCGCTGTTGCTGAAACCAATGATCTAAAACACCTGTGTCAATCAATTTCAGTAAAAGGACGAGTAGAAGAAAACAGTGAAAGATCGATCGGTTGCTGGGATGGAATAATAACACGGAGCTTTACTGCCCTTTTTTCCATTTTTGTCATATAGCCGCCGTTATATTTATATCACAGAATAGCCATATCCGAGGAACACTAGAAAGAAATATACCTAGCCTTGAAGAAATACAACTGAAACGTACAAGCACAATATGGCAAATAGTGGCATGTATTCTAACCGGACTCGCAAAATTTAAAGTGAATTGTGAGGAAAAATGAGTAACTAGAATTAGAATATCGCAGTGTCATAGAATTTCTGACAGGATAAGGTCATCAGCCGAAAACAAATTTTATAGAATGGTTGTTGTCTATGAGCCGTTTTACACACAAGAGAATTACTCCGAAAATTATGGTCATAATAATTATGCCCAAATTTTTTGCTGTCGTATTACACGTAAAAGAATTCTTATGAAAATTTTCATGGTAAAAATATAAAACCCGTTCTATAGAATATGCGCGAGAATCGGCGCAGATGGTTATTTCCGTGCATGTCATTATCAAATGTCAACGTCAACAACCCAACAACATAACCTCACTTAACATTTGTGGGTGTGGTTCTGTTCGAGTCGTACGAAGAAGCATTCATTGTTATTGTTTATTAACCCTTAACCGGTCGCGTGCAGTCTCTGAGACTGATTGATACATAAACAGCTGTATATTTTTAAAACGGTATGTAGCTTTCGGCTGTACCTTCATCTAATCCTTCTCCTTTAACAGACGGCACCTGACTGTTAGTGTGACTTTACGCGATAGGCATCGTCATGGCTCAACCATCGAAAAGAGTACGATATGGTGACCGCAACTTCGAAGAAACTGTTCTGAAGTGGTTTCGTGAAGTAGACGAAGAAGACAGTGATGTTGAAGATGTTGCAGAAGATGAGTACATTTTATCGGAGCACGATACTGATAGCGAAATGTCTGAAAGTGAATCATCCGACTCGGAGTCTGATAATAATCGGGCAAGTGACACATCAGGAGGCAATACTATAAGAAGAGAAGGAATGTGAGAAGAAATATTTCTATGGGAAGAATCGGTACAGATGGTGTGCATCCGAAGTCAAGCCATCGTCGCGAACTAGGAAACGTAATATCGTCACGAAGGTACCGGTTCTAAAAGGAAAAGCGCAGTCACTTGGGAGCAAATGCAATCCGTCGTCTGTTTGGGAATTGCTTGTCACTGAGGAAATGTTGCTGCAAATCGTAACCTGGACAAATGACAAAATTGGCAAAATGAGAGAAAAATACAAAGAAAAGACAAGTCATTTGAATGATATAGATTTGATTGAATTGAAGGCGTTTTTGGGGCTTTTGATTTTTACAGCTGTTTTCAAATCCAATCATGAGAACCTAGAACTCATTTTTGCCACCGACGGAACAGGCCGTGATATATTTAGGGCTGTGATGAGTGCAAAACGCTTTGCTGTACTTCTCGTGGCACTGAGATTTGATAATCCATACGACAGAGGAGAGAGAAAAAAACAAGATCCCTTGGCACCTATTTCCCAAATCTTCAACGCATTCATAAAGAATTGCCAAAACCTCTATGGAATGGGACAATCAGCGACAGTCGACGAAATGTTGGTAAGCTTCAGGGGTGCGGTTCGTTTCAAGATGTATATGCCAATGAAACCATGCAAATACGGAACAAAAATTATGGCCCTTACAGATGCTAGGAACAGTTATCTTTATAATGCATATGTATACTGTGGCAAAGATTCTGACGAAACAGGGCTTGCTCCAGAATATAAGACATTTTCAAAGCCAACGCAATCTGTCATACGGCTCATACAGCCATTGTTTGGCACAAATAGAAATATAACAGCAGATAATTGGTTTTCATCTATTGAACTTCTGGATGTTTTGTTGAAGAATGGGCTTACGTACGTTGGGACAATGAAAAAAAATAAGAGGGGGATTCCGCCTGAATTTCAGCCACGCAAAACAAGAGAAGTTGGATCTGCCCTTTACGGGTTTCGCGAAGAAAGTACGATGGTTTCTTACGCGGGAAAGAAAAGCAAGGCTACTATCCTTATATCATCAATGCACGAAAAAATGTATACTGATCCCGAAACTGGAAAGCCGGAAATCATCACGTATTACAATAATAACAAAGGAGGGGTCGACTCTTTGGACGAAAAGTGTTCAAAGAGCTCGTGCAGCCTGCGCACACGACGATGGCCGTTAGTAATTTTTTTCTGCATTCTGGATATATCTGTGGTTAATTCTTACATTTTGCATCAGTGCTACAGAGATAATGAAATCATTCGGGAAAAGTCTGCGTTTGCAAAAATTTTGGCAGCAAAATTGCTGCAAGAACACATGGAGAGGCGATTGCGAAATTCCCGCTTACCCCGTGAACTGCGCTTCATGATATCGCGCATACTTGGTAAGCCTGAGGAGGATGTGAGTGTGGAAACTGAAGAGATGGTCTTACAGAAACGCAGGGCATGTTCATTGTGTCATAAAACAACACACAGGATGACCAAGTTCCCTTGTTGTGCACTGTAAGCAGCCAGTGTGTCTACAGTGCCGACATTTGAGGCCTGCTCAGACGTTTGTTTTTATATTTGAATTCGATATAGTTGCAGAAATGTATTATTTGCTATCTTTTCTCACGATTGCTGTAAAAAAATATAAGTGTATGCCTTTTATGAGTTTAATTTTACGTTACTTTGAAAAAGTGCATATTTTTCAATTTCCTGAGTTTTATTTGCTGTGGATCTACTGATTATTTCTCCAAATATACATTCTACACATTCTAAGGCTGTTTCTTCTACAAAACCAAGTTCCTACATCTGAAAACAAATCATTTTTCTGGCAACAAAAAACAGCAGTCCCACAGACTGCACATGACCGGTAGTGCACCAAAATTTCATGTGACCGGTTAAGGGTTAATATCGTGGAATCGGGAAGAAGTTACACTATTATTGGAGGAGTACCAAAAATGGCCAAACCTGTATAAGGTGAAGTCACCCAATTACAAAAACAGAAATTTACGGCGTCAGGCGCTGGATGCGATAGTCCAAGCATTGAGAAGTTTTATAATATTAACCAAGATCTCGATTTCAAAAATAAATTTAAATCAACAACATCTGTTATCTTTCCGATTATATTGGACGTCATACCCGTTAAGGTTATTAAATTTTGTTTGCCTGTGTCATACAGGTTGTAGAGAAAATCTTCAATATTTTTACCATGCAAATTTTCGGCATAATTATGATCATAATTTTCGAAGTAATTCTCTTGTCTGTAAAACGGCTCTATGGAGATGATGCACCATGACAATAAACAATAAAATTTTGGTCGAAACAGTTCCGATGAGGGCATGAATCCGTAGAAGACGATCCCAGAAGTGGAAAACCTAAAAACAGCAACAAATGATGCAAAAAGTTGAAGCCGTGGTTCTTGAAGATAACCATGGGAAATTTTTTTTCTTTCTCTCTCTCCCCGGCATTGAATACATCGGACTCAGTGTAATAACCGTCTTGCACGACAATTTGAACCCAAGCCATCTCAGTAAAAATTGCACAGGTTGGGAATTTCAAAAGCCATTTGGAAACTTCGACATACAATTTTGGTACATCAGAAGCATCCTTCTCATTGAATATACAACACTAATGTTTTTAATTCTGATTCCAAAAATGTATAATACGTCATAAATTGACATACCTTAGTTATTTCTCGAAAAGCAGAGTTCCATAGGAAGGCCTTGAAATTATCAGATAGTTATTTGTTTCGCATACCAGATTTATCCCAAAATCACTTTTTTCCTGACTTTATTTGAGACGGGATTTCAAAAGTGTTACTTATTCATCCATTCCCACGCACAAGAATTCATTCTTCTGTGGGTATTTGTAGTTTATTTACGTATACGTACATGTTTTAGTTACGTTTGTACAATATGTAAGTAAACATACTGTTCTCCTCTACAAAATGGCGTAGTCAAATCTTCAATTTGGTATTTCTTCTTTCGACTTGCAGTACCAACTTTTTTTCAGTCCTAAAGTCAGTATTGTAACTATTTACTGAGTTAGCCATGAATTTGTCGTTGGCTGAAAATTATAAGCAAATATAAAGGTATGATGAAACCTGAAGACAAAATGAAAATTTCATTCACTGTAATAATAGGGTAAACCCGGGATAGTTGGCGATACTGGGTTAGACGGTGAATGGCTTTAATTCTCGTATCGTTTAAGAGCTGGCGCCACATGTACGCTCGGCCTATTATTTCAATTAGTGTAAGTTCCACGTGTGCAATGCTGTCCGCATAAAAGTTAATTTTGGTGAGTAAATGACAAGATGTATTTTATAATGGGGTATTTTTTTTTCGTATGTGACTTGCGGACCGGGTCATTTTATTAGAGGGTGCTTTTGGGAGTTTTAACGCTTAGTACTTCGTTAAACAAAGTTAAACGAACATCCTAACCTAAAAAATGAATTCCAGCAACGTTCCGTTCTGCCATAAAACTATTCACCATCTCGCCCTTGTAAATAGGATAGATGGTGAGAGGTCTTGTTGGGGGAGATGGTGAGTATATATTATATTTTGATTTGGTCTTATCTTTGCAGAAAAAGATGCCTACAATATACAAACCTAAAAATAATCATTCAAGAGGGAAATGGGAGGAAGAAGATCTTAAAAATGCGGCTCAAGCAGTACACAATCAGCAGATGTCCATTTATAAGGCGTCAAAAACGTATGGTGTTCCTTGGTCGACCCTGAAAAGAAGGATTTCTAGTAATTGTTTGGAAAAAAAAGGTCTAGGGCCTTCTGTTCTGGGAATTGAAAATGAAAAAAAGATGGTGTCACATATTACGAAACTTCAGCGTCACGGGTTTACTCCGACCAGAAACGAAGTCAGAATAATGGCATATAAACTAGCGGAACAGCTTCATATAAAACACAATTTCAATAGACAAACTTGCATGACAGGACTAGACTGGTTGCATCTATTTTTTCATCGAAATCCTCAATTAACCATAAGAAAATCCGAAGGTGTTTCACAATCTCGTTCACTAAACATGAATAAGGAAGCAGTTATGAAATACTTTGACCTATTGCAAGATTTGCTGATAGAACATGACTTACTTGACAAACCTGGAAATTGTTATAATGTTGACGAAACGGGTTTACAACTCAATAGTAAACCCGGCAGTGTTGTGGCTGTAAAAGGATCAAAATCTGTAGTAAATATTACTTCTGGGGAAAAAGGAGAGACCATATCATTGATCGCTTGTTGTAACGGTGAAGGGATTTTTCTTCCACCAGCGTGTATTTTTAAAGGGAGAAATGAAAAACCCGAGTACAAAAATGGGATGCCAAATGGATCCACAATATTTATGTCCCAGAAGTCCGCATACGTCAATAATGACATATTTTATTTATGGCTAAAAAAACATTCTTTACCAAGAAAATCTAAAGGAAAAGTGATTTTAATCCTAGACGGGTACAGTTCCCACTGTAGCTCAGTCGAAACTCTTGAGTTTGCACAGGCAAACGACATTATAGTTTTGTGCCTACCAAGCCATACAACTCATTGGCTGTTACAACCTTTGGATCGTTCCTTTTTTAAGGCATTGAAGTCCCATTATTACAACGCTTGTAATATATATATATATATATATATATGAGAATGAATCCCACCAGAAAAATCAATAGGCTATGTTTTGGCTCTCTACTGAACGAAACATGGGGAAAATCTGCTACACAACCTAATGGAGTAGCAGGATTTCGGAGCTGTGGAGTTATTCCATTTAACCCGCATGCCGTTCCAGACTATGCATTTTTAAAACTCGATGATATTCATGAAAATGAACCAAGAAACATTGCGAATTCTAATGCACCAGCCCAAATAGATGAAGTGATTTCACCAGAAAGAAGCGTGTCACCACAGCCAGGATGTTCTACATGGGATCTTCCAAGAACTCCACCACGAAGTGGATGCTTTGTTCAGCAGCCAAAAATTAATCGGGAAATCGCTGAAAACAACAATTCTCAAATAACACCAGGAAAAATGCTTGATCAAATTCCACCAATCCCTAGTATGGAAGTCGTAAAAAAAATTACAAAAAGGTCAAGAAATATAGCCGTCATTTTAAACACCACTGATACAATCCAGTCTTTAAAACTAAGAAAAGAACAAGGTCAGAAAACAAAAGAACGGAAAGAAAAATCCCAGAAACTGCGAATGGAAAGGCAGTTAAAAAGAAGAAGGTATGAATCTGAAAGTTCTGACGAAACTGAAGGAGAAATACATTTGGATGATGAAGAAGAGGTAAGAAATATTCTGGAATCCACTTAACAAACAAAACTTCTATTATGTTTAGTAAATACATGCTTTGAATATTTTAGGTCAGTGATGAAAATGAAGCAGTGTGCGTCGGTTGTGAGGAACCTTATTTGTTATCCAAAAAAAGTGTAGACTGGATCCAATGTATTATATGCAATCGTTGGCTACACGACGACTGCACCTCATTTTTGAATATTTGTGAGCCCTGTGGACGTCTAACGGCTCGCAAAAAATAAGACTTCCATAAATTGATGTATCACCAACTGACCCCTACCCACATCACCATCTAACCCGTATTATGTTGGGGGAGATGGTGTCACACCGTTTACTTTTAAATGAAAATTATTTTTGTTGAATGTCAAAATTTGTTGTCATTCGATTTAGGATAAGTTTTTTATGCGTATCTCGATGCAATGCGATTATTCGCAATATTTAATATATTTAAGTTTTTCTTTTAAAAGAGTTTTAATTTTTTATCACCATCTCACCCTGGTTTACCCTAATAACAATCATGAATAAGCAGAGGTAAATCATAATAGATGTTCAAAATGTTGTCCGTTATTTTTGAAATCTGACAAAATTTCAAGGTCTACTTAAGAACTTTTGTTTTTCTGGAAAAATTGAGGTTGGAAATGTCAGTGTATGTCATATTACACATTTTAGAAATCAGAATTAATAACTCTATTCACAAGTGCATAAATTCGATAAGGCGCCCATAAGGAAAAATAAAGTTGGTTCTGGAGAAAAAGAGACGAAACGCCACATTGAAATTCCAATCAAGCCATCTTGAGGGGATAAAAAATGGCATGTTAATGTGCAATTTATTTTGAAATCCCACTACAAATTGGGCAAGGAAAAAATTAAAACGATTTTGGGAAAATTCGTTTTTTCCGTCCCTCTCCGGAAGTACGTTGAATTTCGAAACCTTCTAGGCAGCATTGTGTTGATTCCCTGAATACGCAACTTTGCCCAACTTCTAAGCGACTTCGTATCTCTCACAGTTTCCGAGATCCCAGTGGTGACCGTCGAATTTGAAACACCCTGTACGCCAAAGGATCAAAAATAAATGCAGACGTCCATGCGCACTCGCTGAAAAATTCACGTAAAGCAATTAACCAGAAGTCCCGGTTTCTCCAATCGGAAAGTGTTTCCGCTACATGACAAATCGACCGTGCATAATATTGCAAAATTAGACCAATTGTGCAGGAATATAGCTTCGTTGAGATAAACCATCCTCCCTATAGACCGAACTTGGCTCTTTCTGACCTTTATCCCCTTAGGTTACTAACGAAACTTTTTTGAGAGTCAAGAGGACACGTTTTTTATAAGGGAGAAATGGCGCAAGTGCAATGATGTAAGGTTATATTGAAAAATAAGTTTATCAGATAAATCGTATGTCATTTGTTTTGTGGCTAGGTACACTTATTGTCTAATACCTCTCGTACATATGATTCAAATAGCAATGAAAATATTTCTAGATTAGGTATAGATTATACCTCCAGAGTAGATAAGCTTATATTGAGATACTGTACATGTAGTCGGAATGATGTAGGCCGATGGAGACAAATATTTTTGGATCCTAAGTTACCGTAGGGGTGTAGAAACTGGGATATTTTAGTTACAAATAAATAATTACCTAAGCACAAGCAAATTGGTAACTTACGGTGTCCTACATGGGACAGAATTAGGCCCTTATTAATTAAACTCTACATTAGCTTAAAATCTGAAGGTACAATCATATGCTTTGTAGACGATTTGGCTGTCATTGATTCGGATAACAACTCGTGGGACGATCTAAAGGAAAAGGTTTAAAGAGACTTAATAATAATTGCAGACTGGTTCAAACATAAACGCCTAACTATCAACTTTCTAAGAAAAACTTTGTTCTTGTCATTTAAAAATCTTAGAATGAAATTACCATCATTTTTTCTATACAGGTTGATTACGATAAAACCAATACTCAAATAAACTGAACAAGCAAATTAAGATATCTAGGTGTATATTTAGACTCACATTTAATGTGGAATACACATATTGATCATGTAGTAACCAATCTGAGACCATTACTGTTTGAATTAGAGTATCTAAACAAATATTTGGATAAGAAATAATGGACATTTATGTCATATGGGTTATGCAATATTAGGTTGGGGTGAAGCACTTAATAACCAAATGAATAAATTGGAAATTATCCAAAAACAATTTATAAAAATAATCTTAGACAAGCCGCTTTATACCCATCTGATCTGTTGTATTCTGAAACAAAGTTGTTAGATACTAGGCAACTACTTTTGTACAAAATTATGATTTATCATTTTCAACATAGATATCACCTCATTCCGTTATATCAAACGAGAAACAGAATCAACAACATCAAGCACACACTTTTCACCTCAAAAGGTATAGGTAAAAGATGCCATACTTATGTTTTCAGTAGGATATTTAGCATATTACTTGATGATGCAAGGGACACGTTAAATAAAAATAAATTTAAGAAAACAAAAATCGACGAATTGCGTTGCAGTGATTCAAAATTCGCATGTTCATATACCTATATGTGTATGTATGTAATTCTAAGTACTTCATTCCCACGCACAACAATTAATTATTCTGTGGGCATTTGCAGTTTATTTACGTATATGTATGTTCTAGTTATGTTTGTACAATACGGGAATAAGCTTATTATTATATAGTTTGAGATGTAGAGATTCACGGTATACTGCACACCTAGTCAAGTTCGGATTTAATTTCACGCAATTGAACAGACTTCACCCATTCTTTTTTTTTAAATCATGCCTGAAAATAGTATCTAATCCCGCAGCTACGGTATGGCAGCTATAAAGTCAATCTACTTTACGCCATTTTCTTAATCGCCTTCTATAGTGTTTCCAGTACACTTTTTCGCATGTTTTCCCCTGTTGTACAACGAATGCTTCCATTGTGATGGGTTTTTAGTGAGAATGACGCGACATTATAACACCGCCAAGTGCGAATCAGCAGGCTTATGGCCTCAAGAATTTATGTGCTGGTTTATTTGAACCGTGAACAGCGTTTACTCCAAACATTACATTTTTATTTAGGGCTTTCCAGACATTGTCGTTTATAGGTTTGTTCGTACAGTTGTCGGTGACCTGTCGGTGACTGTGTTGGGGATTCGGCCGTGTGAATCCGACTATAATGTAGGCATATCCTAGAAGTTTTGTCACAAAATTCATTGGCTTTAATTTTAACAAACACAAAATAATATCAAGTCGCCTTTGGAAACCACAGTTTGTTTACTTACTTTACTGTCAGTTGACATTTATTTATTTTGAAGTGTTCGCTTTAAGATGGCGTATAAATTAGAAATAAGAAAAAGTATCTACAAGTTTGTTGGGCGGGTACCCAAAGCTGAAATGTTTCGAATATTCCAGAATGAATACATTTCACGCGGAACCATTTATCGAACAATAGCGGAGTGCTAGCAGGGAACACCATGTCTGAAGCTCCCAAAAAGTGGGAGACCTCGTGCATTTACTGCACAGAGGTCAGAGAGATTAGTGAAAAGAATAAGAAAGCAGGTTGAAATGTCAACAAGAAGACTGGCTCGTCAATACAGATCTTCTAAGAGTACGATATCGTTGGAATTAAGGAGGAATGGTCTTAAATATCGAAAGAGACTTGTGTGCCCGAAATACTCTCAAGCGAAACTCCTTCGTATACCAAGATGCTGTCGCCAACTGAGGCGGGTACACTTTTCCAATGTAAATATCACTATTTTAGATGATGAAAAGTATTTCACTTTGAATAATTCTGAAATGAAGGGAAATGACGGAGTCTATATGGACAACGTAGAGGAATGCCCCGACAATGTTAGATACAAACATAAAGCGAAATTTGCAGATAAAATGCCTTTCCAAATTGGTTCAGTTTGTCCACGAACATCATGCTAATGACCATATCATGTTTTGGCCGGACCTAGCATAATGCCATTACCCAAGAGATACCCAAAACTAGCTTCGACAACACAACATAACTTTTGTTCCCAAAAACAATAATCCTCCAAACTTGCCGCAGGCTTGCCCAATAGAGGATTTTTAGGGTTTACTGTCTAGGACGATTGATCATAACGGCTGGGAAGCCAAGGATGAATAACAATTATGACGGCGAATTTACGAAAAACTTAGAGAAATTGATCTGAATTCCATACAGGACCTCATAAGAGACATTCGAAGAAAGTTGCGCCTGGTAGAGCAGAATGAGCTACTGCACCTAAGTCGATAGTACAGTTCAGTTAAGTATTGACTTGTAATTTATAACTAGTTAGTGTTTAAATAAACTTCTTCATTAAACAAAACCCGATAAATGTTTTGTACTAAAACTCTTGGGACATACCTTATAGTGAAGCATAGTGAATGGAATTTGTGTGACGGCATCTTGGTCAGCGCTAGAGGAATATTGATGGAAACCGTTCATTTCATTAAACCTTTTTTGTCCGAAATAATCCAAAAAACCTGAAAAAGATTTGTCTGGGCAAAAAATGTAATTTATTTTAAAAAATTGCTTAAACTAATTTGATCTGGGTACCGTGCGAGTATATCTTAATACTTAGAAATTCGGTTGAAATGTATACTTTTTGAGATCAAGACCTTCAAAAGTATTTTGAGATTAGTTCATTCTATTTATTTATATATTCTAATTTAGTTCATTTTCAAGCGACTTAAACCTTGTTTTTCAGGCCAAAATTGGCGAACTTAGTGAAGTTGTTTTGTGTCTCCCAAAATATTTTCCTGCACGTTTTGTTTTGAGTTGATAATTCAATCCACTCCGAATAAACAGTGCTTTTCTTTAATGCCTCCACTATTTACTCTTTGATCATGTCACGTTAGCCTGTTGAAGTTCAGAGTCGTGAATACTATATTTTAAGGTAAATCATTATTGCGTATAAGCAATTCCCAATTAAATCATAACACAAAAATTTAGCATCTCATAATCCACCACAAACTCTTCGGGACTGAATTAAAGTGAATGATGCTAAATGCCGAAAATAGTGGAGTAACCTATTTAAATCTCGGAATCCGGTTCCACTTGAAAGATTATTAGTAAAGTGCATTCAAAATATGTACTGTATATTAAAAAGTTTACTTATTACTATTGGCCCCTTTTGATTTTTAATTTATATTAAAATTACCTATTTATTATGTAAAGGATTACTTAACCTTATAAGATACCATGTGATAGATCTTGTCCAACTGAACAAAAAATATTTACGGCAAGTTATGTACTTCACGGCTTCGTTCTTGAGATACAGGTTGTTCATTTCTTCTAATACAGTTTAATTTTGTATTTTTCTTAAATTACTTGTGTGAATTGGATGAAACTCTGTGAATCAACGGCAAGCAATATATCCCCAGAATTAAGCGTATACACTAA